CACTACATTCTAGCCTGGGCAACAGAGCAAGACGCTGTCTCTAAAGAAAAAAAAAAACACAATAAAAAACAAATTAAAACATACAGTATAACAACTATTTACATAGCACTTACATTGTATTAAGTATCAGGCATAATCTAGAGATGATTTAAAGTATTTGGGGGGAGGTGTGTGTAGGTTATATGCAAATACAATGCCATTTTATATGAGATTTGAGCATCTGTGGATTTCATATCCATGGAAAGCTGTGAAACCAATCCCTCTCAGACACTGAGGGGTGACTGTATATCCTTTTACCAGAAGCCAGAGGATGTACCAAAAATCTGCTATTCAGAGCACTGCAGTTAATTCCAAGGGTAAGCAGCTGAGAAAGCAAAGGCCACAGACTGGGCACCCTCCAGGTGATACAGAGCAGCTGTCCTTACCCATTGATACCAGGTTGCTGTAGATCTCCAACATCACATCCCGGTACAAGCCCTTCTGAAAAGGGTCCAGGAGCTGCCACTCCTCCCAGGTGAACTCCACAGTAACATCCTCCAGTGTCAGCAATTCCTGTAAGAAAACAGAGCCTTGCTTAACAGGAAGTGTTTCTCTTTTACTGACATGAAAAGAATGTGAAGGGAAGTTGTCCTGCTCATATTAACCACATAGACTGCATCCATCTATAAATCTATTGTATTTTTTAATATCACCAGAGAATCTCCAAGTATTCTATAATTGTACAGTGCCCCATTTGCTCAACAAAAATTAAGGTTTTATATCAAAGCCGCTCAGTAAAAACAGGTTTTACGTATAAATTTTAATTTCAGTATCTATTGCCCAGTCAAGAAAGTATATGCTACCTACATCTAGGTATCTGATATAAATTGTTTCATTCACTGTAAGCCTTCCCAGCTAATACTAACATAAGACATGGGGAGACTCCAGATGCTAGAATCACAGGACACTACGTTCATGTTTAATTATTAAATGGATTAAAAAATAGAAATGCATAGAAAGCATGAGAAACTATTAAAGAGTAATCAAATTGGGAAAACTTATTTTTGGAAATATATATTAAATATATATGTACACACACAAACATATATACGTGTGTGTATATATATGTATACAGTCACAGGTATGTGTGTCTATTAACAGAAAGGTTATATTAGATACACTGAAGAGATAATTAGTGAGTTGGAATTCACAGTAAAAAAAAAAAAATAACAGGGCCAGGTGGGGTGGCTCACACCTGTAATCCCAGCACTTTGGGAGCCTGAGGCAGGTGGATAGCTTGAGCTCAGGAGTTCAAGAGCAGCCTGGGAAACATGGTGAAATCCTGTCTCTACCAAAAAGACAGAAATTAGCTAGGTACGGTGGCACACGCCTGTGGTCCCAGCTGCTTGGGAGGGTGAGGTGGGAGGATCGCTGGAGCCCAGGAAGTTGACGCTGCAGTGAGCTGTGATCATGCCACTGTACTCCAGCCTGGGTGACAGAGTGAGACCCTATCTCAAAAAATTAAAATAACTGAAAAATGAAGCAGAGACACAAAGTGACAGAAAGTATGAAGGAGAGTTTACTAAATATGGAAGACAGAATGAGGCCTAACATATGCCTATACATAGTTTTTGAAATATTATATTGAAATGAGAAGCAATTTCCAAATATCTGAGTGAGAAATTTTCAGAACTGATTAAATACCCTGTAACTCAAATTTAATAAATCAACAAAGCCAAGCAGAAAATCTGCATCTAGACACATCAGACAGAAACTATTGAACATCAGATGCAAATATAACATTATATAAACAACCATTAACAGAAGGAAAAGATGCATTACCATCAAAAGAAAGACAAAATGTTCTAACAACTGACTTCCATAGAAACAAAAGCAGCAAGAAAAGTGCAGAATAACCTCTTCAATGTCTTGATTCTGTGGTAATTGGCAAATTGTATGGTATGGCCTAGCCCCGAATGCCACTGGAAAATAAATTGAGACCCTCTTGTCAACTAAACTGCCACTCTCCTGTCTCAACATGACTTATAATCATATGGTAGTGGGAACTTGAGGCAGGAAAGAGCTAGGTGAAAATTGATGGGATAATCTATCCCCATGTAATTGCAGAGATTAATACACAGATAAAAGAACAGACTTAGTGGAGTCTGCAAATTCTTAATGCTGCTGATCTTATCACATTCGGAATTATTTCACACGAGAAATAAATCTGTTTGGAAAAAAAACCCTTAGGTTTCTACCTAATTTCATACTCAAAAATAAGTTTCTCCCGTTTAAAGTCCTAACCAGAAAGCAAAAGAACCTATGGAAGCAGAAGCAAATATGAAATATATTCATGTTCTAAGCCATAAAGGAAAAAACAGGGACAAATTTTATGAGAAAAAATTTTAATATCTACATTGAAAAACAGATCATAAACAAAGCTGAAAGAAAAATGACGGGCTAAAAAAATTTGCAATAAACAAAAGGTCACTATATAGTAGATATAACCAACTCATTAACCAGTAAGAAAAAAGTTTTTTAATATAAAAATTATAGTCAGGCATTTCACAAGAGAAAAAAATCCAGTTGGCCAAGAAATACACACGAAGGACTTCAACCTCACCTGTGATGAGGAAAATGCAAAATAAGACAAAAGAATATTGGATCACTGAAAATTGTGTAATTTGATAATGTCTTATTTTTAAGTATTGGCAAAGATTTAAGGCAAAAAGGACTCCATGTATCAGTCTCTATGTTGCAGGCACTCATTTAAATACTTTACATAGTTTAACAATGTTTCCATGTATGACTTTAGACAAATGGAATGTTATACAATTAATATTCTTCAATTAATTATAGTGATATTCCTTTATATTCTAAAACTATACCATCTAAGGCAGGGGTGTCCAATCTTTTGGCTTCCCTGGGCCACATTGGAAGAAGAAATGTGTTGGGCCATGCATAAGATACACTAATGATAGCTGGAAGAAAAGTGCAAAAAATTCTCATAATGTTTTAAGAAAATTTACAAATTTGTGTTGGGCCACATTCAAAGCCATCCTGGGCCACATGCAGCCCACAGGCCGCAGGTTGTACAAGTTTGATCTAAGGTGACCAACAGGTGAAATGTGATTCCACTGAAGCAAAAGAAGTCATGATAAATGTGTTTATATATACAGACACATACATAAAACACCTAGATTTATAAATACACATACATACAGAGATGCACACAGTTCAGTGACAGTAAGTACGTGCTACCAAACCTTTGTTGAAGCACTATAAGGGGATTAGGAAGAAAGTTATGATGAGCAAATTTACCTTTTTTTTTTAGAGAGACAGAGTTTTGCTCTTGTTGCCCAGGCTGGAATACAATGGCATGATCTCGGCTCACCACAACCTCCGCCTCCTGGGTTCAAGCGATTCTCCTGTTTCAGGCTCCCGAGTAGCTGGGATTACAGGCATGCACCACCATGCCACTCTAATTTTGTGTTTTTAGTAGAGACAGGGTTTTGGTCAGGCTGGTCTTGAACTCCTGACCTCAGGTGATCCGCCTGCCTCGGCCTCCCAAAGTGCTGGGATTACAGGCATGAGCCACCGTGCCCGGCCCGGGAATTTACTTTTTTAACCAGTGTGTACTTCATCATTAGAATTCATTTCCCTGTGGGGCCAGGCACAGTGGCTCACGCCTGTAATCCCAGCACTTTGGGAGGCAGAGGCGGGTGGATCACCTGAGGTCAGGAGTTCGAGACCAGCCTGACCAATGTGGTGAAACCCCATCTCTACTAAAAATACAAAAATTAGCCAGGCATGCTGGCGTGCACCTGTAATCCCAGCTACTCAGGAAGCTGCGGCACGAGAATCCCTTGAACCCAGGAAGCGGAGGTTATAGTGAGACGAGATCACACCACTGCACTCCAGCCTGGGAAACAGAGTGATACTCCATCTCAAAAAAACAAAACAAACGAACAAAAAACAGATTTTTTTCCCTTGGGAATCCATGAGTTATTTATGTAATTACAAAAAAATAAAAGCAATAAAAATATGTAAGAATTGGATGTGAAAATGCAGAAGGATTCTGTATATTCTGAGATGAGGTAAAGTTATCAAACATGGCACCCAACAACTCAAGACCTTATCAGACAACTCCCTAACGCCAAATCTGCAGTTAATGCCAGTTCAGCCATCTGTTCAGGACAAATGGAAGCTATGCATGCCTTCCATTTTCCTAGGCCACTTAGATTTTATTCCCAAATCAGCTCACAAAGACACAAAGACTTGAGTGTGTGGCCTTGCTTTCGTCCCTTGAAAAAACTGTGTCCACTGAGTTTTCCTGGTCTATTTCCATAGGAGTCTCTGAGGAACCCTGTTATAAACAGCAGTAAGAAATCTTCTGCCTTCATTAGAAAGCTAGTTCAAAACACTGTTCAAAAAACCATATCACCTCTGAGAAGAAGAGCAAATTTTTCTTGACATCTAAGTGCCATGAAATAATGATCTCCTGAGGAACGTGTCTGCTTTTTCCTCACAGTCACTGTATATTATATAACTTAGCATGACTTTCTTGTACTGGCTGTCGGAGACATCAGATGCAAACTGACAGCTAATGTAATAGAAAGGATCTTCTAGTCAGGCATTATGTTCCAACATCAGTCATTTTTTAGGAATCACATAAACACTATATTCCTGATCTTACTTTGCCATGATGTTGGAGTTAGATTTAAAGTTTATTTCTCTCTAGATTCTGAAATGATTTCTTACAGGTCTCTACAAATCCACCATGGAATAAAGGAGAGAGTAAAATAGAGAAAAAGTCACCTGGGCATTGATCATTTTCTTCAGTTGTGGGAAATGGCCAGCACCTGGGATACTCTGTCTTTGTCTCCTCTGGATCTGCCTTAAATTTCTAGTTAGAAAGCTCAGTCACCAGTGAAGAGTGCCCACAAAAATCATTATCTAGGTCCTGGAATCTTCCTCTTTCTTCATTCACTTCTTGTCTCTTCCCAGGGCAGCCAGGACCTGTAGACTGAGGAGCAAAACAACTTTCAGGGGTACATTCACCTTAACATGTGACCCTGAATATTTGTCTCTTTATTTGGTTCTCTCAAACCAAAGAAATGCAAGACCCTCAATGAAGGCCAAATGCCTTTCTTTGGTGAAGTGTGGAAGTAACATGAAGAGGAAAGGGGAGGTCACAAAGGCCACACAGCATCATGCCTAAGCAGTAGGTAATTCTCGTATCAGCTTTTTAAATAATGCCATATGGACGGTGAGAAACTGTACATTTTTTCCTTTATACAATGTTACCCTCACACCTCTTTAAAAGTCTTTATATATATTTAAAAGTGTTTATATATGGCCCGGCATGATGGCTCACATCTGTAATCCCAGCACTTTGGGAGGCTGAGGTGGGCGGATCACCTGAGGTCAGGAGTTCAAGACCAGCCTGGTCAACATGGCGAAACACTGTCTCTACTAAAAATAAAAAAAAATTAGCCGGGTGTGATGGCGGGCACCTGTAATCCCAGCTACTCGGAGACTGAGGCAGGAGAATGGCTTGAACTTAGGAGGCGAAGGTTGCAGTGAGCCCAGCCATTGCACTCAAGCCTGGGCGAAAAGAGCAGGACTCCATCTCAAAAAAAAAAAAGTGTTTATACACACACTTCAATATGAAGAACAAGAAACACATCAAAAAAAAGAGGGAGACAGAGAGAAGGAATACGAGGTATAAGTACAAATTTAGAAAACAATTCAAAAATATAAATACTGGGAAAATAGCCGCCTTTATATACGAACATACAAAAACTGAAACACCCATAAAAAATATGCAGTACATTTGCAAGAGGAAGGATAAAAATAGGCTCTTATTAATTTGTGCAGCAGTAATAAAAAAAATACTGTAAATAGAAAGCTTATTCATCCGCACCCTCTCTGCCCCCCCAACAAAACTTTCATTTTCTGCAGGTTCAAGAGCATGGGTTGTCGTGGAAAGCCAGAGGATTAGAAAACTCATCGTGCAGGAGGTACTTGGACCTGAAACTTTTAGGAAATGTTAACGTTCATCAAGTCTGTTCCAGCAGCCAAAGTTTGAGCTCAACACACACACACAGACCCTGCCAGGGCTTTTGTGAAAATACTTCAGTTTTCACTTGTCTCTACACAAAAGGCCACCACCCCGCCAGATTAATACGAAAACCTGGAGTAGATACACATGTACACTGGCTTCCCTTAATGATTCCTCGATCACTGAACCTCAGATTAATCCAGAATGTGAAACAGAAGTCACATTAGTTGAAAAAGCCACCCCACCGATTCTCAATCACTGAGCCCCACAGGGGAGTGACCCGCGAGGACCACAATCCCTGATCTCAGGACTCTTGGTCGTAGATCTACTCAGGCCTTTAATCACTGACCACCAGAGCCTCCATGAGGGACCCCCAAAGATATCCCATCACAGACACCCACCAGGGACTCCTACCAGCTCCCCTCCAAAAGAAAACACCCGCCCCCGCCTCCCCCACACTGCCGCGCTACCTACACCTTACAGCGCCGCCAACAACGCAGACGCCCTCAGAATGCTCCCTCCCACCGCGTTTCCACGTCCTGACCCACACACTGACCTTACTCTCCCTGGAATCGCTGCGACTTCTTAAAGACTGAACTTACTTCCCTAAAGTTCTTCCACTTCTGGGCCCCTCGCCCAGCTCCCTCCCCACTAAACCTCAAGGGAGGGTCACCCGCGTTTCCATGGAGAGCGGAATGCGGCCTTCCGGCTTTTCCTCAGAAGAAGCATCCGCGCCGGAGTCGCCTCGCCGCTCTGGGGGCGGCCATCTTTGAGTACGTGACGTACAGACGGCATAGGAGCCGCGAGACGCTGTGGACAGAGGCCTCTTAAAACTGTCCGATTTCCAGGCACGTCAGCCGTGGCAGAAAAATGGAGAGATTATCAGAGGCTTGAGTTCACACAGACAGATACGGCGTGTGGGTAAAGTCCTCTGAACAGACAGGGAACAGAATAAGTTGATCTTCTCCTTGCAGGGGCTAGTGAACGGCGCAAACTTCTCAAAGGCCGGAACCCATTATTACCACAAAGGCGCGGCATCAGTTCTTAACGGTCTTGATGGCTGTGGCGTCTCAACTCAATGGAAAATTAAAGTCACCTCTGGGCACCTCAATCACTATTCTAAATGCGAAGCGTTTTAGAGGCCGTATAAAAACTGAATCAAGCGGGATTAGAACAAAAAATAAGCGAGCGGTGCGTTGCAGGTAACCGCGCCGTCAGGCGGGAGTACTGTGGGGGCGGCCATCTTAGGGGAAGTTCGGTGTCCGTAGGGCAGAACGAATGCTCTCTGGGAAGCTTGCGGTGGAACTGGCCCGTGGAATTGTCTTTAGAAGAACAAAACCACCTGGCTTTGTTCTTGACTCTGGAAATGGATCGTTTTCTAGAATTATTTAGGTTGGCAGATTAATTTCCTTCACACAGTTTCCTTGCCCCCACTCCTTTAAAGATAGGAATCTTTAAAGCCAACAATAGTATTGTCAAATCCCTTTCATGTTTGAAACCTCTGACTATCGCATCTCTCCGGTTTCTCCTATTATTAAGTGCTTGGGCAATCCAGAATAATCTCCCAATGCTGAAGGCAGCTGATTAATAATTACAGTGCAGAGTCCTTTTTGCCATGTAACATAATATAACCATGGGAATTATTCTGGAGTTGGAGATCTGCCTATGATATGACACTAATGAATATTTTGCAATGAAAAAATACTATTTTTTAAAATTGTCCATATATCTACAGAATTATTACCACAAGTTATGCCTTGTGACGTTTTTTTAGAAGACGCAAGGATGAAAATGTCAACATTTTCAATTGTGTGTTTTCTTTTTAATAATAAAGCATGTGTTCTAATTTACAAAAACCACAATAAAGGTATTTTCATCATGTCAGTCTTGAGGCTGAACAACACTTAACATTCTTTTTCCTTTTACCTGTCTGCCTTCTCCCTTCCCCTACACTCTCTATACCCCACACTCCAGGCTTTGTTCCATCATCTTATGCCTATGGCCCCTTTCCCCTGTACACTCTTATTACTTCCATCTGTAACACAGACACACACTGTCACTCCTCTAAACACTCTAGTGTTAAACAATTGCCACTGATTGTTTTTGACAAGTGCCCTATGGGTAGGAGTGTTCACATAGATAAAGCTGAGTCAAGTCAAATAGAGAAATACTATGAGAATAGACCTATTCAGGCTGCAACACATTTAGTAGTGAAAATTCTGTGGGGATGGAGGCTTTTGGTAAATACCACAAGGTAAAGCTCACTTGTGGCCGGTGTTGTGAACTTAATTGGCCACTCTAGAAAAGGAACTAACTGGCCCCTAGCCAGGGCCTAAAAACTAGATCTAGATAGCACAAAAAAGTTACATTAAACTTCCTCTAGTGTCCAATCTATCAGATTCCGATCCTGAAGGACTAACTCAGTCTCTCTTCTACTTCATCTCCTTTCTCTCATCTTATAAAAGATATTCTTTGGGAAAACTCTGTTTATTTCACATATAACTCAGCTTTAGCTGGGTCTGGTTCTCTCTTCGAAGATCTTGCCTTTACCACATAACTTCTGCAGCCTCGAAATGCTGAAGATTTCCCAGAAATTTGTTCTAATTCCTAGGGGTTTAACCTACCAGTATCTCCTCTGTATTCATCTTGGCCTTCTCCATAAAATTAGGTTTTGCCTAATGTAAGTACAGATATAAAGCTCAAATCCCCTCAGATATTTCCAAAAGAATTTACTTTTACAGAAAAACCTCAGTGACACATGTGGCCTTTTTTGAAGATACTGTAAGAGTGACAGGAACAGAGATAACAGGGCACTCAAGAGCAAAAAACTTCAGAACCTCTCATAATAATTACTTTTTCTATCGCTTCTCGGCCTTTTGGCTAAGATCAAGTGTAATAATTACTTTTTCTCCACATCCCCTCTAGGATGCCTCACCTGTGAGTCTTTTCATATCTTCCTCCTCTACCTATGCAGTGCCCCACCTGCTGGTCTTGTGCTGATCTCTCTCATGGCCCTACCTGCCCCAACAACTTACATTCTTCTCCATTTTAATACAGATCAATTAATTCTTCCAAGAATGTACCCTAAACACTTATATTTATTGTGATTTAGAGAGTATTAAATCCCCTTTTTAAAAAGAATAGTTAGGAATTGCCGGGCGTGGTGGCTCACGCTTGTAATTACGAGGTCAGGAGATTGAGACCATCCTAGCTAACATGGTGAAACCCCGTCTCTACTAAAAATACAAAAAAAAAAAAAATTAGCCGGGTGTGGTGGCCGGCGCCTGTAGTCCCAGCTACTCAGGAGGCTGAGGCAGGAGAATGGCATGAATCCGGGAGGGGGAGCTTGCAGTAAGCCGAGATCGTGCCACTGTACTCCAGCCTGGGTGACTGAGCAAGACTCCGTCTCAACTTTTGTTTTTTGAGACAGAGTCTCAGTCTGTCGCCCAGGCTGGAGTGCAATGGTGAGATCTCAGCTCACTGCAACCTCCGCCTCCCGCATTCAAGTGATTCTTCTGCCTCAGCCTTCCCAGTAGCTGGGATTATAGGCACCTACCATCATGCCCAACTAATTCTTATATTTTTTGTAGAGACGGGGTTTCACCATGTTGGCCAGATTGGTCTTGAACTCCTGACCTCAGGTGATCCACTCGCTTCTGCCTCCCAAAATGCTGGGAGTACAGGTGTGAGCCACCACGCCCAGCCTATCTATCTATCAATCTTATTTTGAATCACACCTCTGGTCATTTTCAGGAACTATGGAAGTTTCTGTCACCCAGGATGGCATGCAGTGGCATGATCTCAGCTCACTGCAACCTCCGCCTCCTGGGTTGAAGAGATTCTCCTGCCTCAGCCTCCCTAGTTGCTGGGATTACAGGTGTGTGCCATCACGCCTAATTTTTGTATTTTTTGTAGAGACGGGGTTTCACCATGTTGGCCAGGCTGGTCTCAAACTCCTGACCTCAAGTGATCCACCCCCCCTCAGCCTCCCTAATGAAGCAATATTTAATTAAGATTTCTATCAGTTGGATACTATGCATCAGGATGAGGATAACCTGATTTATTCACCGTTGCTATCCCCACGTAGGTACCACATTAACCAGCTGAAGAAAATCCTGAGACTACAATAGAAATGTGGCTCCTCCGTAAGTTTCTGTATTGATGTTCCAAGGATGATGAATGTGTAAACAACTGAATGTGTGCAAAAACATGCAATTTACTTATTTATGATAAGATGAGGAGAATTTGTATTTCTGATCCAGACAAAGCAGAGCCTGGATACAGTGGAGTCACAGCTCATGACAACAAAGGGGCTGACACTTGGAAAACACACAGAAATGAGGGCAACAGTGTTCACCGGCCACCACCTGGGATTATGAAATCGAGCAATACAAGCATGAATGAAGGAGGAGAGGATGTGAAAAGACACAAAGGTGCTCACCAGGACAAGGATACTCTGGGTGACTCTGGACTCGGAGGATCTGGAGGAAACATTATTCCTGTGAATGTGTTGGACTTACTGCTTGTGCCTGTACAAAATGAAAATCCTGGAGCCACTGGACAAGATTATGAGCCCAGAAAATAAAACTTCAGGGAATACAAATAATGCTGCATACAATGGGTCTATAATTTTGTTAAAACCTAGAGAAAGGCCGGGCACGGTGGCTCAAGCCTGTAATCCCAGCACTTTGGGAGGCCGAGACGGGCGGATCACAAGGTCAGGAGATCGAGACCATCCTGGCTAACCCCGTGAAACCCCGTCTCTACTACAAAATACAAAAAACTAGCCGGGCGCGGTGGCAGGCGCCTGCAGTCCCAGCTACTCCGGAGGCTGAGGCAGGAGAATGGCATAAACCTGGGAGGCGGAGCTTGCAGTGAGCTGAGATCCGGCCACTTCACTCCAGCCTGGGTGACAGAGAGAGACTCCGTCTCAAAAACAAAAAAAAACAAAAACAAAAAAAAAAAAAACCTAGAGTAGAACAGTAACCAAAATCTCTTCTTTGTGATGTTTTTGTTGCTGTATGTGACAACCAGATACACGGGAAAAATTTACTACAATGTACAGGATCCAGCAGATGGGAATGGAGTATCCAATGTACTTTGCAGCTTTTACTTTAAGATCCTTCCACCTGGAGTTCATGGGGCTGATCCTTATGGTCTGGAAGACACTCAAGAGGCAGGTGGTGCCAATGGACGTAGTCCTAACCACTCTTTCTACATAGAAAGTATGTTCACATCCAAAACCATTGAAGAAATGTGTCAATCCAAAAGCTGACATTGTCTGGGGAACTCCTTTTGAGAGAAGAAACATGGGGTTTCCAATAATCAAGTGCTTGAGAATCACATCTGTGGACCTCAACTTGGATCCTTTGTAAGAAAGGAATAGATAACAGCAGATAAGAGAGAAGTTGCCTAGGATTTCAACTCTCTTCTGTGATAAGAAGATTATCCTTATTGCCACATCACTGGAATCTATTCTTTCATTCAGCACATGTTCCTTTAAGGATGGTAACAATCATTCTTATGAGAAAATAGCCTTATTGAAGATTCTTGTCATTAACAGTAACTTTCACTGTGTGCTCCGGTGAGGATAGCCAGGTACACTTAGAAATGGAAAGAATTACCAGGATACTTCATGGAAGTCAGCACTAAGGATGAGGTGCTGTTAACCATGGGAGAAGCAATGACAAGTGATAGCAAACAGAAAAAAAGCATCATCTAACATTTTATGAATAAACTGATGAGGTAGTTATAATGGAAAAAAGACATAACCTCAACCGCTACCAACACTATAGAACAAATTACTTCTGAATGAATTGCTGATCTAAATTTTCATGGTAAGTAATACAATTTCTAGAAAAACAATAATAGTATTCTTGTGGTTTTAGAATAACAAAATGTTTCTCAAGCCACACAAAACACATTAATAATATAGGAAAGATGACAAATTAGGCCATAGTAAAATTAAGAGCTGGCACTGCTAAAAGACACACCACACACACACACACACACACACACACACACACGAGGGGTTTGGAAGAGAGAGATGTATGTACCGTAAAAAAACACAGATTCACACAATAGAGTAAATTATAGTCAAAACATTCCAATAGAAGCTTCAAAAACATTATTCAATTAATAATTTAGAGAAAATGTTCAATGTCCTTATTAATTGTGAGAATTCAAATAACACTACTACCTAATATCATTGTACACCAACCAGAAATCTATAATAAAAATGGTAGGAAATATCAAGTTTTGGAAAAGATGTGGGTAAATCAGGCACTTCATACCAATGGGTGTTAAAAATGGCACAAATATTTTGGAAAACTCTTTGGTAGTACCTACATAACCTGAAGAGATACAAACCTAGGTCTCAACAATTACACTCTTTTTTTTTGTTTTTGTTTTTTGTTTTTTGTTTTTTGTTTTGTTGAGGCAGAGTCTCGCTCTGTCGCCCAGGCTGGAGTGCAGTGGCCAGATCTCAGCTCACTGCAAGCTCCGCCTCCCGGGTTCACGCCATTCTCCTGCCTCAGCCTCCCGAGTAGCTGGGACTACAGGCGCCTGCCACCTCGCCCGGCTAGTTTTTTGTATTTTTTTAGTAGAGACGGGGTTTCACCGTGTTAGCCAGGATGGTCTCGATCTCCTGACCTCGTGATCCGCCCGTCTCGGCCTCCCAAAGTGCTGGGATTACAGGCTTGAGCCACCGCGCCCGGCCTCAACAATTACACTCTTACAAATATACCCCAAATAAATTTCTATCTCTATCTATATCTATATATATACACCACCAAAAGATTAATTCAAGAATTTATATACCAGCACTAGTCATAATACCCCAAACTATAGACCATCCACATAGTAAAATGACTCAGTGATATCCACACAATGGAATCCTTTAAGGCAATGCTAATGTATGCCAACAATACATTCACAAAAATCATATAGAATAAAAACAAGGCAAGTATAAGATAAACTAAAAAAACAGGAAAAGTGATCTAATCTCTTAAATGTTAGAATAGATGTAAACCTATGTCCCAATGCCGCTTCTACAAAAACCCAACCGAACTGTAGCCTTGGGCCAGGCATGGTGGCTGACGCCTGTAATCTCAGCACTTTGGGGAGCCAAGGTGGTGGATCATGTGAAGTCAGGAATCAAGGTCAGCCTGGCCAACATGGTGAAACACCATCTCTACTGAAAATACAAAAATTAGCCGATGTGGTAGCGTGCGTCTTATAATTCTGGGTGCTTAGGAGGCTGAGGCAGGAGAAGCGCTTGAACTCCGGAGGCGGAGGTTGCAGTGAGCCTAGATCACAACACTACACTGCAGCCTGGGAGACAGAATAAGGCTCTGTCTCAAAAAAAAAAAAAAAAGAAAAGAAAAAGTACTTGATCCCAATAATTCACATTAGATGTCACTGAACTCATTTGTACAATTAAATGCAAATTAATTTAGAAGTGATGATGAAGAAATAGGAAAATCTACTTTATCAATATTGACCCCAGCAATGATAGGAAGCCTGAACAGAAATCTATCCCTAGAAGAAAGAGATATATTTGTAACAGTCTTTCACAAATAAAAACAACAGCATCAAATGATTTAAATGGCAGATTCTACCATTTTTTTTAATATCACATAAGCCAACAATTGATACTTCCCCCCCCCCCCAAGAAAAAGAACACTCACTGGCTATGTAATTAATGAAGAAATACAAAATTTAGCGGTCAAAATTGATTCTTTGGGTTTTCAAACAGACAAAGTTAGCAAATAAGTAGAAATTGCAGCTCAAGGTGCAGTGGGATGAAGCGGTTACCAGTGCACTATGTACCTACTTTGCAGTGTTTTAAGATACAGTATGGGCCAGGTGAAGTGGCTCATGACTGTAATCCCAGCACTTTGGGAGGCCAAGGCAGGCAGATCACCTGAGAGGCCAGGAGTTCGAGACCAGCCTGGACAACATGGTGAAACCCCGTCCTTATTAAAAATACAAAAATTAGCCAGGTGTGGTAGTAAGTACCTGTAATCCCAGCTACTTAGGGACTGAGGCAGGAGATTTGCTTGAACTCGGGAGGCAGAGGTTGCAGTGAGATCATGCCATTGCACTCCAGCCCGGGCAAAAAGAGCAAAACTCTATCTGAAGAAGAAAAAAAAAAAATTAGCTGGGCATGGTGATGCATGCCTGTAGTCCTAGGGAGGCTGGAGCGAGAAGATCGCTTGAGCCCAGGAGTTCAAGACCAGCCAGGGCAACATGACAAAACCCTGTCTCTACCAAAAACAAAACAAACAAAAAAAGATACAATATGGTATAAACTTGAGAGCATGGGAAGTAGCAGATAACACACATACAACTATTTTCCAAATTATCATGCCTCATGTCGTCAGGGCACCTTCTCTTTTGTTGATATGGCAGAGAGTCTTTATTGATTAAAGGAAAGGATCACTCTGCAGGATGACCATGTTACATGAATAGCAGACCGGAACATTAAGAGAATGAGATTTTCATTGGAGTAGAATGATAGGTTACCTATCTGCATATATGGTAGACAAAAAATGCATGTATGGTAGACAAAAAAAAAAATGTAAGGAGAATGATAGTCACCTTCTACTTTGAAAAGTAATAGTTGTGGCCAGGCACACTGGCGTATGCCTGTAATACCAGCACTTTGGGAGGCTGAGGCTGGTGGATCACCTGAGGTCAGGAGTTCGAGACCAAACTGACCAACATGGAGAAATTCCCGTCTCTACTAAAAATACAAAATTAGACGGACATGGTGGCACATGCCTGTAATCCCAGCTACTCGGGAGGCAAAGGCAGGAGAATCGCTTGAACCCAGGAGACGGAGGTTGCAGCGAGCCCAGATGGCACCATTGCACTCCAGCCTGGGCAATAAGAGGGAAACTCCGTCACACACACAAAGTAATAGTTGTATATCATATTAATGAAAATTAGTCTTATTCTTGGAAACTAAAAAGACAGCAGTTATTACAGAGGGCATTTTATTCAAAAGAAGCAGAAGAGTGTTCATGTGTAGGATTCATATTTGGCTACTGAAATTGCATTTTAGTATTGATTTATAATGGATGTATTAATCAGTAAAATGTAATTGCTTGTTTTGCAACCTGGAACAAATCATGTGCCTTACATCAACCAAAGCAAGTTCTGCCTCACTGGGGCACTTCATAATAAATATTAGTAATACATCACGAAGTGCTGAAGGTTGAATGCCACCTATAACAGGTTTTTTCATATTAGATGAATTCAAACAGGATACAATTTTGCGAATATATGCTTATAATTTGCACTTGAGCTATTCTCTCTGAGTGTGCCCCAGGACATTTTTGTGGAAATACCATGCAGTGCAATTTCAGACTCTGAGCATCTAAAACCTGCCTCAGTATTCATGAATATTCACTATATGATTATATTTCTACATGCCTTTGTATGTACTAAGATCAGTGGCTTGCATTTGCCTTGACTTTTATGTGTGGTAAAAATAAAAATATGGCAAGTATATACAAATATTAGGAAGTGGTCCAGGTGTGGGGACTCATACCTGTAATCCCAGCACTTTGGGAGGCCGAGGCAGGTGGATCACATGAGTTCAGAAGTTTGAGACCAGCCTGAACAACACGGTGAAACCGTGTCTCTACTAAAAATACAAAAATTAGCTGGGTGTGGTGGCGCATGCCTGTAATCCCAGCTATTTGGGAGGCTGAGGCAGAAGAATCACTTGAACCTGGGAGACAGAGTTTGCAGTGAGCTGAGATTGCACCACTGTGCTCCAGCCTGGGCGACAGAGTGAGACGCAGTCTTAAAAAAAAAAAAAAACATTAAAAAATGTAATATATATATATTATATACATGAAAATAATTAGGGAATAAGAATTTCTTATTTGTGCTTAGAATACATAGTGAAGTAAACAGAAAAAAAAAAAAAAAAGAATACATAGTGAATTTGGAAAGATTAAATGTTAGGACAGGCATGGTGGCTCATGGCTGTAATCCTAGCACTTTGGAAGGTTGAGGCAGGAGGATTGCTTGAGCCCAAAAGTCCAAGACCAGCCTGGGCAACATGATGAAACCACCATCTCCACAAAACATACTAATATCAGCTGGGCATGGTGGCGCACACCTGTAGTCCCAGCTACTTGGGAGGCTGAGCCAGGAGCATCGATTGAGCCCAGGAGGCAGAGGCTGCAGTGAGTTGAGATGACATCGTTGCACTCCAGCCTAGGAAACATAGCAAGACTCTGTGAAAAAAACAAAAAACAAAACAAAACAAAAACAGAAACAGTGCTAGACTCTGTCTTAAAAAATAATAATAAATTTTTTTAAAAAAGATTAATGGAGCCGGGCGCGGTGGCTCAAGCCTGTAATCCCAGCACTTTGGGAGGCCGAGACGGGCGGATCACGAGGTCAGGAGATCGAGACCATCCTGGCTAACACCGTGAAACCCCGTCTCTACTAAAAATACAAAAAACTAGCCGGGCGAGGTGGCGGGCGCCTGTAGTCCCAGCTACTCCGGAGGCTGAGGCAGGAGAATGGCGTGGGCCCGGGAGGCGGAGCTTGCAGTGAGCTGAGATCCGGCCACTGCACTCCAGCCCGGGCTACAGAGCAAGACTCCGTCTCAAAAAAAAAAAAAGATTAATGGGCCAGGGTTGTGGGTCATGTCTGTAGGTCATGTCTGTAATCCCAGCACTTTGGGAGGCTGAGGCGGGTGGATCACCATCCTGGTGGTCATCCATCCTGGCCAAGATGGCAAAACCCAGTCTTTACTAAAAATACAAAATTTAGCTGGTGTGGTGGTACACACCTGCAATCTCAACCAACTGAGGCTGGTGGATCACCTGAGGTCAGGAGTTCGAGACCAAACTGACCAACATGGAGAAATTCCCGTCTCTACTAAAAATACAAAATTAGACGGACATGGTTGAGGCTGAGGCACGAGAATTGCTTGAACCCGATAGGCAGAGGTTACAGTGAACAGAGATCGTGCCACTGCACTCCAGCCCTGGGCCACAGAGTGAGACTTAGTCTCAAAAAAAAAAAAAAAAAGTTAATGTTCCCTCTGAATAAACATACACAATGGGATATCTTGCGGGGTAGGTAAAGTAGAAACTTTATATATTCAACCCAAAACATATTTTGTTAATTTGCACTGGGGGCACTCCACTAGAACAGGATGGAACCCCACCCACGTTTGGATGCTGGGACTGATGATGTCACATAGTGAAGTATCATATTTGTTACATAATGAGACTCTGGAAAGAGCAGAAGACTTCCCAAGCTGGTTCAAAAGTGGCTTGTGAGAGCAGGAAAATGTGTTGTTGACTATGGTTAAGGAGTAGGGCTAGGGTAAAGGTACCCAGGCATGTCTTGAACTTCCAGCATATACCAAAGAAGGGAGCACTCAGGCTTTATTATCGACTTGCCCAAATGGGCAAAATAGAAAAAGTGGTGTGGCTTAAAAGATATCAGTAATCAATCAAAAAGTAGATTCAGATTCTTTAATCCAACACTGAATGTTTACTCTTGAAACTCTTGACTTCTAGGTTGAGAAAGCCTCAATTTCCTCATGCTAAAACCTTATACATGTCCTTTCTTCCAGCATAAATAGGACCCTTTACACAATATAATTGTTGAAAGTGCTTCCAAAATACTGCTTAGACAAATTGTCTACAATATTTTTACACTTGAATTGTGAAAATTAATGTTTATAAGACAATAAAAATTAACAAAAAAGTCATTTTTCAAAAAGCTATAAAAATTTCTACATGAGGTTATCATAATAAGCATGGTACTCTATAATAATTTCTCAACTATAGCAAAGCTCCATTTTATTTATTTACTTATTTATTTAGAGATGTAGTTTCACTCCTGTCGCCCAGGCTGGAGTGCAGTGGCGTGATCTTGGCTTACGGCAACCTCCACCTCATGGATTCAAGCGATTCTCCCGCCTCAGCCTCCTGAGTAGCTGGGATCACAGGCACCTGCCACCACCCCCAGCTAATCTGTATATTTCTAGTAGAGACGGGGTTTTGCCATATTGGCCAAGCTGGTTTCAAACTCCTGACCTCAAGTGATCCACCCGCCTCGGCCTCCCAAAGTGCTAGGATTACAGGCGTAAGCCACTGCTCCCGGTCTATTTATTTATTTTTAAATAGAGATGGGGTTTCACCATGTTCCCCAGGCTGGTCTCAAACTCCTGGGTTCAAGCAATGTTCCCACCGTGGTCTCCCAAAGTGCTGGGATTATAGGTGCGAGCCACTACACCTGCCCAAAACTTACTTTTTAAAATACTTTTTAAAAACAATTATATACTTTCCTAGAAATCACTTAACCCAATTTATAGATTTACATTTCTTCCCTTGTACTTAAATGAAAAACTTGAAGGATCCATAAATCAAGGTGGTATTTTTAGATTTGTGTGGCAAAAAATATGTACAGAGAACTGACAGATAAAAAGGATGTGCTCTATCAATATGTAGAGGGTCTCTTACATTTTAAGTTCCATGAAATAATTCGAATGATACAAGATAATGAACTGAAATTGTATAATGCAGAAGCAAGAGCTCTGTTGCTAATGTGCAAGTATATCACCGGGATTTTTAAAACATAACATGCTAATTATACCTTAAAATATATTTCTCCCAGTCTGGGCAACATGACGAAACCCCATCTCTACAAAAAATACAAAATTAACCAGGTGTGGTGGCGTGGGCCTGCGGTCCTGAGGCAGGAGAATAGGGTCTGGAGGCAGAAAACCTAAGGCTGTTTCGTGCTAACTTCCTTGAACTAAATTGAAGGGAAACCCCTAACTTTCCACACCTAAGTAACAAAAGAACCAGAGACTACTCCCTTTGCAAACCTCTACCTTGTCTGCGTGGCAGGTGGGAAATTAAAAGTACCTCTGACTGATTGCTTTTTGCTTTTACTTTTACAAAGTAAAGACCTTTGTAACTTTACTTCAGCCTCTGATTGGTTGACTGATTGCAGGCCATTTTATTTATATGAGGAGACCACCAAGCGGCCAATGGGAAAGCTGCAGTAGTCATTTGGACCCAAGAAGATTCTATATCCCGGCCACTGCTAGGGCTTGTTCCCACACTGTGGAGTGTACTTTCATTTTCAGTAAATTCCTGTTTTCGTTCTTTTGATGCTGCATTCTTTCCTTGCTTTGCTGGGTGTTTTTTCCAATTCTTTGTTCAAAATGCCAAGAACCTGAACAACTTGCAATCAAGACCCTCTACTGGTAACATATTTTGGTGAGCTAGCCAGGAGAGAAAGTAGGTCCAAAGTTTGGGATTTCTTTTTCTCCTTTCCCCTTTTACATACAGGGAAGTCTTTGTCTAGGTTCTCTTTTCCTTTCCAACTCAGGACCCTCGGTGGACAGCGCCTGAGCACGAAGACAGCTGCAAGTTTCTGGCCAGGGCCATTCTCCGGTGAAACTGAAAGGTTTCTGTGTGGAAGTGCCTGACTGCCACCGCTTGGTTCAGGTGAGAAACCTGAGTCCTATTCCTTTTTTTCTTTTTCTGAGTTCTTTTCCTTTTCTCCTTTTTCAGTCTTTCAGCAGCCGTTTTCTAGTAGCTCCTTGGTAATTGGGGGGAACTGACTGGGGCCACTCTCTGGTGGTCTCTGAAGGCCAAGGAGTGAACAGGGATGGCTGCCCCGCCCAGAAGGGGAAAAGACTCTTTTCTGTCCTTTTCAGTAATAGTCCCTGATCCCTATGTGTGATGCAGTTGGCAGCAGTAGCTCATCCAGGGCGAACTCACAGGTTTCAGGTGACTTAAGCTTCTTTTACTTATGCTAAATTCTTCCCTTCCCTCATTCAACTGGCCAAGGACAGAAAACCCACCTAACTATGGAAAAAAGGTTATACAAGTCAGAGGGTCTGGGCATATCGTAGGTGGTCTGTGTGGTGCATGGTGGTGGAGGGAATTCATGAAAGGGAATTTATTATTGCCCAAGTTGAGAGGGTTAAAGAGTTGCTTTAAGTGGGATAGAAAAACTTGTCAGGTCCTCAGTGGTGGAGAGAACCATTCCAAAGCGGTGCCAGCACCCATCTAAGGTCAGAGATGTCTGACAGACTAAGTTGGAGCCCTAAAGGGGGGATGCTCCCAGGGACCCCACTCTGGGCCCAGAATTTTTCCAGGGGGATGCCCCAGGTAAAATTTGGGTCACCTAATGAGCCCTCCACTTTTTAAAGTCCTCTTCTCTTTTCCAGACCACTATGGGCAACTCTCCACCTCTTCCACCTGATTCCATGCTTGGCTATATCCTCAACCATTGAAATAAATTTGACCCTGACACTCTAAAGACAAAATGTGTAATTTTTTTTTGTGCAACATTGTCTGTCCCCATTATGAACTGCCCAGCCTGGAACAATGGGCAGTCACTGGCAGCCTTAATTATGACACCATCCTGCCATTAGACCTATTTTGCAAGAGGCAGGGCAAATGGTCAGAAATCCCATATGCACAGGCTTTTATGACCCTATACCAAAACCTAACAATCTGTGAAACTCCCAGAACCCACCTCCCCCTCCAACCAAAGGAAAGTTCTAAGGTAGAATTAGATATTATAGATGATATAGATGACCCCCCCCCTTTTTTTTTGAGATGGAGTTTCGCTCGTCGCCCAGGCTGGAGTGCAATGGCTTGATTTCAGCTCACTGCAACCTCCACCTCCCAGATTCAAGCAATTCTCCTGCCTCAGCCGCCCAAGTAGCTGGGATTACAGGCACACACCACCATGCCCAGCTAGTTTTGCCTTTTTAGTAGAGATGAGGTTTTTCCATGTTGGTCAGGCTTGTCTTGAACTCCCGACCTCAGGTGATCCGCCTGCCTCGGCCTCCCAAAGTGTTGGGATTACAGGCATGAGCCACCGTGCCCAGTCAGATGACCCCCTTTTACAAGAGCCACTTGTCTCTAAGGATGAACAGCGACCATCCCTATCGCCCCCTTACCAAGTGCTCCTGAGGCTAAAACCCTTAGGACGCTACTAAGTCCCCCTAACACTCGGAGGGGAACACCATATTCCACTCTCCCTCCAGCCTTGCTACCCCTTAGGGAAGTAGCAGGAGCCGAACGGCCAGTCCTATTGCAGGTCCCCTTCTCTATAACTGATACACAGCAATTAAGGAAAAGCTAGGAAGCTACTCTAAGAATCCTAGGAAATTTGCAGATGGGTTCCAAAAGTTGACCTTATCACTATTGCACTCCAGCCTGAGTGACAGGGTGGTTACTTGATAAAAATGTCAATTTACAAAGATGATTTGAGAATCTTGTGTGTGTGCACTTAAAACCAGCTGCAAAACATGTGAAGCAACAAGTGACAGAAGTGAAAACAATGTACAAATCTAGGTGGAGCACAGATTTTTAGGGTAGTGAAAGTACACTGTATGTTTCCCATATCCCAAAGTAACTGTTTGTCAAAGGACACTGTGAACACAAGCTCAGTGACTTACGTTGTAAATTTACATTATTCTCCACCGTACTCCATGCTGCTTAACTCACACAGTACAGTGACCTTAATCTTCCAGAAAACATGGATATGAAGGAACCACACCTAATGAAGTAGCCCTCTCATCTGATTTATTCCCAGAGGCCACAATGAAGGATGTGTAGGAAAGACTTCATACTTTAGGATGAAGGTCACAAATAGTTAACTAGCCTTTTTAAGAAATGTCAAAGTGAATACAATTATTTTATATACTGAATTAGCCATTTGCACACATGCTTTTGCTCCTTTGATGTACATATTACCTGGGGTTTTGACAAATTTTGTCTTGTAGTTATTTTACAGCAGGTATCATTCCAGGTCAATCCTGGATGGAGAAGCAGACTTAGTTATCCATAGTATGGTTTACCTAATGTGGAATCTGTTGAGAAATGGTTTAAAACTTTACCTTGTTAATTACATTTGCAAGGTTTCTATCCAGCATGAATAATTTGGTGAAGCCTGAAGACACACTACTGATTAGAGGTCCTTCCATGTTAAGCACAATCATTTGGCTTTTCTTCTGTATAAATTCTCTCAAACTCCAAAAACATGAACATTTGATTTTTTATTTTTTTGAAATGGAGTCTTGCTCTTATCACCCAGGCTGGGGTACAATGGTGCAATCTTGGCTCACAGCAACCTCCACCTCCCGGGTTCAAGTGATTCTCCTGCCTCAGCCTCCCAAGTAGCTGGAATTACAGGCGCCCACCACCATGCCCAGCTAATTTTTGTATTTTTAATAGAGATGGGGTTTCACCATGCTGGCCAGGCTGGTCTTGAACTCCTGACATCAGGTGATCCACCCACCTCGGCCTCCCAAAGTGCTAGGATTACAGGTGTGAGCCACCACACCCGGCCCATTTGATTTTTTTTAAAAAAGGCTTACCACATTCGTTACATTTGTAAGGCTGTTCTCCAGTATGAATACTCTGATGTTTCCGTTTTGATGTTTGGGTAAAAAAAAAAATGCACACAAGTTGCATTTGTGTGGTTCCTGTCCAAGATGTATATTCTGATGTCTAGCGAGTTCAGATACCTCGGGGAAGCCTCTAGCACATATATTTATATGATTTATTTCCAATATAAACTCTCATGTCAAGTAGTGACTGAACTCTGGTACAAAGTTTTTGCCACACTCATTTCATTTGTAAAGCATATCTGCACTTTGAGTTATTTATAGATCCACAAGTTTTGACCTTTAGTATTCTTGCCACACATATTACACTTCTGTGATTCCTCTCCAGGATGTATATTCTTATGCCTAGTGAACACTTGCTTGAAACTTAGCTATATTCTTCACTTCATGTGTAAATGTATTAGGCCATAATTGCATTGCTAGAAAGAAATACCTGAGGCTAATGTATAAAGAGGTTTAATTGGCTCACAATTTTGTAGGCTTTACAGGAAACATGGTGCTGCCATCTGCTCACCCTCTGGGGAAGCCTCGGGAAGGTTAAAATGATGGTGGAAGGTGAAGGGGGAGTGGGCATGTCACATAGCCAGAAGGGGAACAAACAAGAGGGAGGTGCTATTCACTTTCATGCGTGCGTGCGTGTGTGTGTGTGACGGAGTCTCACTCTGTTGCCCAGGCAGGAGTGCAGTGGCACGATCTTGGGTCACTGCAGCCTCCACCTCCAGGGTTCAAGCAATTCTCCTGACTCATCTTCTCGAGTAGCTGGTACTACAAGTACCCACCATGAAGCCCAGCTAATTTTTTGTATTTTAGGCAGAGACAGGGTTTCACCATGTTGGCCAGGCTGCTCTCGAATGCCTGACCTCAAGTGGTCCGTCCACAGTCTCCCAAAGTGCTGGGATTACAGGCATGAGACAGGCGCCTGGCCCTGCCATTCACTTTTAAACAGCCAGACCTCATGAGAACTCACTATCACAAGGACAGCAACAAGGGGATGGTACTAAACCTTTCTTGAGAAATCCACCCCCATGATCCAGTTGCCTCCCACTAGGCCCCACCTCCAATGCTGGAGATTACAATTCCACATGAGACTTCAAAGGGAAGGGACAAATAGACAAATTGTATCAGTTAAGTATAAATTATTTGGGGATCCCAGAAGTTAGGACAACGTCTAAAGGCCTTTCCACATTGAGTTTAGTTGTAAGGTTCTCTCCAGTATGTTTTATCTGATGTTTAGTAAGGCCTGAGCGACTAATGTAAGATTTGCCACACTCATTACATTTATAAGGTTTTTCACCAGAATGAATTCGTTGGTGTTTAGTGAGGCAAGACCGCCGCCCAAATGCCTTGCCACATTCAATACATTTGTATGGCTTCTCTCCAGTATGGTTTCTCTGATGGTAAACCAAGTTTGACCTTTCGATAAAAGCTTTACCACATTCATTACATTTATAAGGTTTCTCTCCAGTATGCATCATCTGATGATTAAGCAGAATTGAACGTACTCTAAAGGCTTTGCCACACTCATTACATTTGTAAGGTTTCTCTCCAGTATGAATACTCCAATGACGTGCAAGGCCTGAGCGGTAACGGAAGACCTTGCCACATTCATTACATTTGTAAGGTTTCTCTCCAGTATGAATTCTCCGATGCCTTGCAAGGGTTGTAGTGGAATTAAAGACTTTCCCACATTCAATACATTTGTATGGCATCTCTCCAGTATGTCTTCTCTGATGGTACACCAGACTTGTTTTATGACTAAAAGTTCTACCACATTCACTACATTTGTGTGGTTTCTCCCCAGTAGGATTTCTGTGATATTTTGCAAGTTTTGAACTTTGGATAAAAGCCTCGCCAAACTCATTACAGTGGTAAGGGTTCCCTCCAGTATGAATTACCAGATGTTTAGTGAGGCTTGAACGCTGAGTATAGGCTTTGCCACAATCATTACATTTGTAAGGTTTCTCTCCAGTATGAATTTTCCGATGACGCGCTAGGCATGAGTAGTAACTGAAGACCTTGCCACATTCGTTACACTGGAAAGGTTTCTCTCCAGTATGACTTCGCCTATGTATTGAAAGGTTTCCACTGTCAATGAAGACCTTGCCACACACATTACATTTGTAAGGTTTCTCTCCAGTATGCATTCTCTGATGACGTGCTAGGCATGAATAGTAAGTGAAGACCATGCCACATTTATTACAATGGAGCGGTTTCTCTCCAGTATGACATCTCATATGAACTGAAAGGTATCCACCATAATTAAAGACCTTGCCACACACATTACATTTGTAAGGTTTCTCTCCGGTATGAATTCTCTGATGTATAGTGAGTAATGAGCCCCAATTAAAGGCTTTGCCACATTCATTACATTTGTAAGGTTTCTCTCCAGTATGAACTCTCCGATGCACTGCAAGATGTGAATGTTGACTGAAGACCTTGCCACATTCATTACATTTGTAAGGTTTCTCTCCAGTATGAATTCTCCGATGCCCTGCAAGACGTGAACGTTGAAAGAAGACCTTGCCACATTCATTACATTTGTAAGGTGTCTCTCCAGTATGAATTATCTGGTGCCTTACAAGTTGTGAATTTTGATAAAAGACCTTGCCACATACCTCACATGTATATGGTTTCTTTCCTGCATGGATTATCTGATGTGCAGTGAGGCTTGAGTTCCGTTTAAAGGTTTTGCCACACTCATTACATTTGTAGGGTTTGTCTCCAGTATGAACTGTCTGATGGGTTGCAAGAGAGGAACTTTGACTAAAGCACTTCCCACATCGATTACATTTGTAAGGTTTCTCTCCAGTATGAATTCTCTGATGAACTGCAAGGTGAGAACTTTTACTAAAGGACTTGCCACATTCATTACATATGTAGGGCTTGTCTCCAGTGTGACTTCTCTG